GAATATATGCTTTATTGATTCTGTTACCAGGAGAGTCACATGTCTATCGAACTCACAGACACAAATAGAACCTAAATGTGAAAGATTTTGCATTCCTGAAATCTAGGAATTGGTTAGTATATGTTTTATAACATGATAGTTAATTGACTACTGTTCTTTACACAGAACCTGGATGACAGTGTGTTTTCAAAGCGGCATGCAAAACTGGAGCTGGATGAGAAGAGAAGGAAAAGGTGAGGTCCGAGATGTCTATCCTATGAACATCTAAGCCCTAGGACCCTGACCTCCCTTTTCCATGCTACGGAGACTCTTGGAGCTCTTAAGACTCTTAACATTACTGGCTTCCCAATTAATTAATTGAGTATATATTGGAAGCGGTAGTTTTGTATGTAAACATAATTGACCCCTTTTTCTTCATGTATGCCCTCCCTCAGTTCCACTTTCTGTGGGATCTGGACCGCTAGACCTAAATAGCTCTTCCCTAACTAGGCAGTTCTTTAACCTTGTCTTAGGGAGTCAGCAAGGATTGTGTGAGTTGTAGGTTTGGGGTAAGCAGTAATGTTGGGTTTGTTTGTTTTTTTTTGTCTGGTTTGTTTTTCCCAGATGGGATATTCAGAGGATCAGGGAACAAAGAATTTTACAACGACTGCAGCTCAGAATGTATAAAAAGAAAGGAATTCAGGAGTCTGAGCCTGAGGTTACCTCATTTTTCCCTGAGCCAGATGATGGTAAGTTCTGTCTACCTAAAAATGTAAAAACTAGGGTTTCCAAAGAAGAGTGCAAAGCCCCAGTCAACAACTGCTCTGAGTGAATGAACTGTATTTTGGAGCAGGTGCAATTGCTACATGTTTCCTGTCTATGGCACTAACAAGGTTCTATTTGACTTTCTTCCATAGTTGAAAGTTTGATGATTACCCCCTTCTTGCCTGTAGTAGCATTTGGACGACCATTACCAAAATTAATTCCACAGTAAGTATATAGTTTTTTTCCCCTCTCTTCTCAGGTAGCCTGTACCTACCCTTTAGATTTCACAGAATCCCAGATACAAGGTATATCCAAGTGGCTTAGAGCCTTGTTTCTTTGACAAAAGTGAGGTTACCTCAGCAACTAGCTCTTGGAATGATAAAATTCCTAAGCCAGGACTTAGGAAGCTTGCTTTTTGAGGTAAAAATAGGTTATTCCAGGGCCAGCAGGTGGTGTGGTGGTTAAAGGTGCTGGATTCCCACATGGCTGTCAGGTTTGAGTACTAGACCTGGTGGCTCGCTTTCCCACTTTCCCTTTCTCTCTCCCTGGTCAAATTAAATAACAACAGCATACTGAATTAAATGAATAAATAAATCTTTAAAAAAAAAAAGGAAAATTACTCTATAATTTTAACAGTACACTGTTCTGACTTTGTGGCAGGAAAGATATTCCAGAGGTCAGGGCCAGGACTCAAACTGCAGTCATCCTTGTGGGAATCCAGTTAACTGTTAACTCCTCCATGCCCGACATTAAAAAATTACTCCTATCTCTCCAAAATACTGCCTTTTTGTTCCTTGGCTGTCTAATTTTCCACAACAGTGAGGGACATAGTGAGTTTTTTTGGAGTTACTATCATGTCCACACTAAATCTCTTCTAATCTTGCAAGTTGATTTCCCCTTTTTCTTTTCTGCCAGGAATTTTGAGCTGCCCTGGTTGGATGAGCGTAGCCGATGCAGGTTGGAGATCCAGAAGAAGCAAACACCTCACCGGACGTGTAGGAAATAGCTGTCCTGGCAAGAATCCTCTGTCTTCAGATAGTTGTAGCATGCCATTCCCAGAGAGTGGCAGAGACCTGTATATGTGACCTATGTCCTCATGTATGTTATCATTTGCTGACAATACCCTTCCATACTCTCTCGATTTTGGTTGTTTTCATCACTCTGGTTTCACAAAAAAACTCATTGGGCTAATTGTAAGTTATGGATGGAGACTGGGATTCCTTTTCCCTTTTTGAGGAAATGAACTCTTAAGCTACATCTATTGGAGGGTAGATTGGGACGTTTCAGGGGTCTGCTTCTATACATTTGCCTTTGTTAAAGGGGTGAAGGGCTCTCTTCATTAGACAAGTGAATGATGAAGCAAGCGCCCTGCCTTTAGAGATATGCCTACATGGCACTCTTCTTACCCTGTTACACTCTCATTCTAGTTTGAGTATAGTGAGTTTTACCCTAAAATAAAACAAAAATATCTCACCATGAGCTTTAGGACCAGTGAGGAATAATAAGTGAAGTGATGAAGCAAGTCATCTTCACAGAATAGAAAAGAAATTTAAGAGCTGGTAGATAAATCTCTGAAAAGATAATTTTCTCTTAAAACTATACTACAATATAGCCACTTGAGACATTTGACTGTGATTATTTTCTTAGTTAATGGGTAACTGAATTTCTTCTCCTACCCCTCAAAAAATAAAATCTTTGGAAAAGAGAATGGAGATGTTAGTTTCAGAAAAGTTACAGCTCTGAACAAAAGCAATTGACATTTGAGGATGGCATGCCAGATCTGTTATCGATGTCCTTGTGTCACATCACTTCTCAAGTATTCCTTAGTTGGGTTTTATCCTTTTAGCTGAGTTCTTGGTGGTGGGTGAATTTAGGGCGGGTGGGGGGAGGGTATGGAAGTATGTGCTTCTTTTGGCTGGCAAATGTCTACATCTTGAAGCAGATGTACTTAATGAGCTTCTCCATTCATTTTGTAAAAATAGATTTGTATATGTACCATCTTGCCCCTCCCTCCAGCCCCCTTTTTGTTAAAAAAAAAAAAAATCAGGACAGCACTTCCAGGCCACTTTGGTCTCAGTGTAAGATCTCTGTTAACTATCTGGAAGGAAAATAGAGCCAAGACTTCTGGTCTTAAATATATAGGAATTGCCTTTCTTTAGTCTTCGGGACTATTGTGTGAAAACAAGTAGGGGTCTAATCTCCTAGAAGGTAGGGGCTTTTATCCTTGAAGAGAGTATGTCCCCAGATTATTAGCACTTTTAGAGGAGAAGCCAAGGTATGTAGGGTGTGTGGCCGGCCCTTCAGTGGAGCATGAGAGAATGGGATACCATTGTGGGAATAGAAGAAAAGTTCCTCAGGGGCCTCCCACTTCTAAAACTTTTTGTGAGATGTTGATCTGTGCTCCCTGGGTTTGACTTTTAAAGGAATTATTCCGGCAGCACATGTAGTATTCTTGGATGATCTTGCTGCTCTTATTTCTCCTTTTGTGTGTGTGTGTGTGGCTATGGGTTTTCATTTGTAACTCCATCTGTTTAGGAGAGTGGGCTCTCTATAAGGGAACCTGCTGTAAACTTCAATGCAGCAAGGATGTAGAGAGAAATAGGACTTATTCCACTAGGGGCTCTCATCTCACACCTTAAGGAAAAGAAGATTTCTAGAAAAATGGCCAGATTTTCTTTGTTCTCCATCATTTTAATTTGGTAAGCCGTTTGTTCGGCTTTTCTATTCTGACCCAAGTTATGTTCCTTCATAATGTGCCCAAAGAAGAAAAGACTAGTCGGTGTGTCTATTTACTTTGTTCCTGATCTCTGTTTTCTTCTTTATTTCAGCATTTGTCAGATTCCTAATTTTGGATATGGTTTAACAAATTTAACCTTTATGTATGTGTCCCACCCAGGAGACTTCCCAGATACTACACTTGAGCTAGATTCGGAGGAATCCATTAGGTGCTATCTGGCCAGAAATAAGTGAATTCTGTTTCCTTTGGTTCTCTCTTTCCC